TCAGTTTTGCCCCTCGTTTTCTTGTGCTTAGGGAGAGCAGGGTCTGGCAGTGAAGACTGGCCTGGCACAAGGGCTATGGTAATTAGATGGGCAGAGGTTTGTTAGGCCTCTACTGTGCCAGGGGTCTATGATTCACTTGCACCTGAAAGGGTGAATCCCTCAGAGTATCGGCTTGTGGCCCAGCCCCACCCTGAGGCCCACTACTATTAATGAATACAAACACCAAAGTAAGGGTTAATAAGCAATCTGTATTACAAGGCACAAAATAACAATAATTGTAGCAACATGAACTAGTTAACAACCGCTTAACAGAACGTTATATACAAATACGTATAGAGCCATACCAGCCTGTCACCAGTGGTGGCAGCCAAGAACACTGACACCCAGGCTGCAGGGCCTACTGTCACATCCCTGCCAGGCAGAGGATTTCTACCCTTTCCTCCGCAAGTGGAGTACTTGGAGACCTCTAAAGGGAAGGGTGATACTTTACCTGTCCTATGGGGAAATGGAGGTGAGTATCTTGGGTGAGAATTTCGGTGTCCCCACACACACTCCACTCAGCACCCGCACTCCCAGTCTTCCCAGCCTCTCCAACAGATTCAACACCACTCAAAACTCTGACTCAGCTCACACAGCTTCTTGGTGCATGAACTCTTCACCATATACACCGACACGCATGCACACATGCGCGCTCCTGCATACTCATGCACATGCGCGCACACACTCACCAAGATGATTCCTCACGCTGGCTTTTGTAGTGGCTGCCTCACACTACCTGCCAATCATACCATGGTCCAATCACTGCTTGCACATCTCAATCAATCAATGTCACTCAACAGTATCATTTTCTTGGACCACTCATATTCATTATCACTTCATAACTTATTAACATAAAGTTCCTGCTCTTTGGTTATATAACAAGGTTTCAACTGCGCATGCCTCAGTGTCCTAAGTATGTCATAGCATCATCAAGGTCAGAAGTTTACATGTTCCAGAGACTTCTAACCTCTAGCCATCCTACACATGTGTAATCACTATTATGACTAGGCCAGGACTCGCACTGTTTACAGCAGTAAGAAGGAAGGAGCTGCAAAGGGAAGAAGTTGTCAGGGGAGGCAGAGGGCAAGTGAGTTTCCTTGACCCTCCCATCCCCCCAAATTTATTTTCTGTGCTGTAGCAGTGGGAGAGGGACAGAGTCAAAGCAAACCTACAATAATTAGATTCTATACCTGGAAAATTGTAAAATTTATAAATTTGTCACATACAAAATCTAATTGGAGAGTTGTCTCATTAACAGTTATCTTATATTTAAGTAGATATGATACATTGGCTTTTGTAAACTAAGTGCAATAATTTAGTGGAGGCTATAACTATGTGTAAACCATCATATATTGTCCTACTAATATATGATGCTGGTAAATTGTATTTATTCCTGTTTACAGTCATAATGCTTTTTAAAGTGAATTAGGTGATTGTGAAAAGTCATGACTGTCATTCTTTCTATTTACACTGTAGTACTGTAGCAAAGCAGTTGATGAATTTTCCCAGAAAGTACAAAGATTAACTTCTAGCTTTTTTTCTGTGTTCTATGCTGGAAAAGATTTATAAAACCATTTCTGAGTTTACAGTCTGCAGACATTCACTTGGGTTACATGCTTGGCTTAAAAAATAAGAATAAGTAATGTGGTGGCAGGGGTTGACTGAATATGCAATCTAACCATATAAGGTGATTTTTATAATATAAGAGCTGTGCTCTAACTCATTTTAGCAAGTGATTGGAATTGCAGAGTGGAAGGGTGGTGAGTGAAAACTGCCAATTTTCTCTGTGTGACCAAAAACAAAAACAGTGACAAAAACCCCAAACCACATTTTTCAACTGGAGCTATTTTGTTAAAGAAGGGACAGAATTCTTTGCCCAAGGACCAAAAAATTGTAACAAACCAAAGTACTTACAGTCTACTTCTGGGCCTGCCAGGGAGTGCATTGGGGGTTCCCCCCGTGCCTCCCCAGCTTGGCAATCAGCTGTGGGGGGACCCCAGGTGTCCACAGGAGGCACCAGTCACTGAGCCACGGGGGGATCCCAGCACATTCCCCGGTGGACCCAAAAGTGGGCCAAAAGTGCTTGAGATCCACTTCCAGGTCTGCTGCTGAGCACACGAGGGAGCCACCTGCACTGCTGTGGGACAGTCCATGTGCCCCAGCATCATGGCACTCATGAGCCCCTGCTACCTAGAGGTATGTAGAAAAAACATTTAAAGCTGTCTCTATGTCTGAATCTCTGAATCTTTCAGAATCTCTCCAAATCAATTCAGAGGGTTCCAGTTCGATTCAGAGAGATTAAAGGGTCCTCTGATTCAATTCAGATTCAGAAATTCGGCCACTGAATCGGGCCAAATCTCCAGTGACTTAAATTGGGGACCAAAGCTTTGCATATACAAGTAGTAAGCATTCTTTGAGTGCTGTATGATTTTAATGTACATAGGACTCAATACTCCATCCATTACTTAGGCCCAACTCCTGGGTCCTGTTGAAATCTCCCAGAGGTGAACTGACTTTAGACTGACCTAGAGTTAACCTAGCCTAGTGAATTCCTGCATATATTCACAGCACAGCCCTGGGGCTGAGAGAACCCAGACACTCACCACAGCCCTGGTGTTGTGCTATTTTAATCTCCCACTCTGTTCCCCTTCCCCTCTCCACCTCCCCCCACACAGACTACACCTGCTCAGATTGGGCTGCCCCCCCACCTGATCCCATCAGCCCTTCCATACTCTCCCGAGCAATTTACCTTTGGCTGTCTGCGCCTCCTTCCAGTAAGTGGTGAATGCTTGTACATGTGGGACCCAGCTCAGGTTTAGATAGTTTAAACTAAGCTGCCTAAATGTGAGCTGAACAATATGCTGATGACTGCGCCATCCTTGCACACACTGAGGAAAACCTCCAGACCGTGTTGGATCTCCTCTTGGAAGCCTACTGAATTTTGGGTCCCTCCCTCAACATCAACAAGTCTAAAGTGCTCTATCAGCCTGCTCCAAGCCATGAATGTGACCCTCCTTCCCAAATTACCATCAAGGAAAAGACTCTGGAGTTAGTCAAGCACTCCCCCCTATCTCAGCAGCCATCTCACTGTGAGAGTGAATATTGATGAGGTGATCCAGCACAGAATACAGCGCACAAGCGCATGCTTTGGGAATTTGCTTTGGTGTTTCTTTGTTCATCTTGATCTCTGGAAAGACACCAAGATCTAGGTTTACAATGCAGTTGTCATCTCTACTCTCCTCTCTGGATGTGAAACACGGGTTAAAATGACATACCATTGTCATCTCAAGAACCTGGAGAAGAATCGCCAACAATGACTCCAGAAAATCCTCCACATCAAATGGAAAGATCATTGCACAAATGCCAATGTCTTTGCTGAAGGCAGTGTTACAAGCATTGAGTTGGTGATCTTCAAACACCAACCTCACTAGACCGGAAATTGTGTGTGGATGCCTGATTCTCAACTCCTAAAACAGCTGCTCTATTCTCAGCTAAGTTATGGCCTGAGATCTCATAGTGGCCAGATGAAATGCTACAAGGACACATTGAAAGCTTATCTCAAGAAAGTGGATGATGACATCAAGAGCTGGGAGGACCTGGTTGCCAGACTCCCATGGTGCCACAACCTCAACGAAGAAGCAACCTGTTTCATGGTAAGGTGTCTTGCCCTCAAAGCAGAGAAGAGAGAGTAGAGGACGGAAAAGGTGAGGAAACCCAGCCTGCAGCCTGCTTTCCCCTAAGAAAGACCTGCAGCTTCTGCAGATGGATCTGTGGCTCAAGGATTGGACCCAGGTCACCTCAGGACCCATCTATGAACTGTGGTAGAGATCGTTCACAAATTGAGGGATTGCCGATGATATAAACCTGAGGTGGTCCCAGGAATACTTGTTCACACCATAAGCCTCTGGCAAGGGAAAACAAAAGTAAAACTGGACTTACTGCACAGAGGGCTCTCTAGCCACAAGCCACTGTGGACAGTTCTCTTCCCCAGTCCACCTTATTTACCCTCAGACACCTCCCCAGTAGAAGCTTGCAAGGAAATAACTTATTTTTTTTTATTCCGCTTTTCAGAAACAATACATGTATTTTGGAGGGGGCGTGTTTTAATTAGAGCAGCTCTTGGGAGCTTGTTCAACGAGCTTTAGTTAAAGCACCACTCCCACCATTTTGAAGTGCATGGACACTGAATATATGTGATGTTGAGGCTGCTGGAGCATTCTAATTAGCATGTTCCAGCGGACTCAATTAGTCGAGTCTGCTCTTACCTGCTATAATTACAGTGCATCAGAGCAGGCATCCCATATGTCTGTAGGCACTCAAGATGTTTATTTTATTCACAGGCTTGTTGTACATGAGAAAATACAGTTGTTAACCTATCCACGGTACCACGCAAATACGCTTCTTCCAGTTTGGAAGATAGGAGGCACAAAGCAGCATGGCATGCTTCAGCATGGTACTGCTTGGTGCACTATAGTAATTGGAAGCTAACCTCTGGTAACATTTCTTTGTGGGTTAGACTTCTTCAGTAGCTAGTCCATCTTCCTGTACCCTTACATTCTTTGGATATGGAGGATATATATACTCCTCAGCCCTTATTCAGGCCATTGACTGCAGTCAGTGCCACCTGACTACAGACTGTAAGTCTGATCCTAACTCATCACTTACAGTCCAGCCAATAACTGTGCTCTATAGCTGGATATATTTGATAGACCCATGTAAAGTTCCTTGGATTTCAGTAACATTTTCTAGGGACACGGAGCCAATGGAGTGCGGTTACACAAATGAAATCTAAAAGATTTAGCAAAAGAGGGAAAGACCATAAGTGATTTTTGGAAAATGTTTAATACTGTTTTTTTAGGTGCATGTTGAACTGCTCTGAAAAATCAGTATGTAATTACATAAAATGAAGATTCCATCCCATGTAACAGAATAGTCACACATTTGACATACTTAGAAAAAAGTAAGTTTAAAACAATGTATTTAATAGTGCTTTCATTCTTAATTTTCTTGACCAGACTTGAGCCTGTTCTGTGTTTTGTCCTGATGATAAGTTGATGTCATTTTTAAGTTTCCTCAAGTAAAGCGAATAGTAGGTTCCTGCATTTGTTACAGTAAATATTTGTGAGGACATCAAGCATTCTGCAAATAATATACATCTCAAACTCCAGTCTTGTTGGATTAAAAAAGGAAGACTATGGATCTACTCTTCCAAAATTCTGTATATCAGTAACAATAATATTTGTATAGTGCTTGTCATCAAAGTATACTATAAAGGGTGGTAAGGGGCATTCCCTCCACATTGTCAGTGAGGGTACTAGAGCCCAGAAAAGTAAAGCAAATTACCTAAGGTCACACTGGAAATAAGTGACAGAACATGGAACTGAACTGACACAGTGCTGTGCATCATCTCCTAAGCCATAATGCATATTCTAAAGTATTTTTTCAGGTTTTTAAATGCCGGTGAACTACACATTAATTTTCATTCAGTGACATACTGGTTTGAAGATGTATAACTAAAACAACCTTAAAATGGGTTATTTCCTGCATATCTTTTATTATTGTTTTAAAATCACATCCATATCTTTTAGTACTAACAGAGCCTGAATATACAGTCAAAACATCAGCTTCTGGACAGATGCAAATATTATTGTGTTTTTAGTTGCTATTATTATGCTATTGTCCAGTAGCACTACTGAAGTGAAGGATCCATTACTTATTATTTCCATTATGTAGAAGCCTTATATTTTTCAATTTTTAGCTGTACTATAAACACTTGCTGTAAATTGTGATATTGCATAAGCAAAGGCTAGTTCAGGAATTGGTGTTATATCCTTCCATACCGAGCTCTATGTATGTGATTCAAAAAGAAAAAGAAACAAACTGAATTCTATCAGCTAAAAACACTTCACAAACAAATCAACTACCACACAGAGCTGTCACATTTTTCCAAGTAATTGCTCAGCTATACACATACAGTGTATGTACACACACACACACACACACACACACACACACACACACACAAACGCATCTGTAAAACATTATACTTATAACACCACAATATAAAATTATAAATGTATTTCCATTCACTCTTCTCTTTAAATGTTTACATCAAATGTTGACATTTTAGGTTTAATACAGCAACATAATACACAGTGGTTTTTAATAACAAAAATATAGTTTTGGGGAAATAGTTATATATTGTATTATATTATAATTATTAATTATTATAAGATAATAGTTAATAATTTTTCTTTATCTACCTACCAGGACCCTTATCCTTTCAATAGAATATTAGCATGATGTCTCATCTCTTCAGTGAGTCCCACTCACTTCTCCTAGTGTGATTTACCACTGTGTATATCTTAATTTTATATGGCTGGAACATATTTTATAAGTATTTAAATGTTTTCCTAGTGTGTCCAGTGCTGGGATTAAGCTTTATTATATGATCTTATTTGAAGAAATAAATAAGTTAGTTGATAATGGGGTCTTAGTTAAAGTCCCAAAATAGAAGTGATTTTTCTGTTGGATATTATTAGATCAATACCATGTAGGGGGCTGCTCTTACCCTTATTTCATAGTAAACATCTCATTGAACAACTTGGGAACAATTTATGAACTTGATGTGTCTTCCATGCTGTGTCTCATTATCCTATTATATATATATATATATATATATATATATATATGCTCAAGACACTACCACAATTTCCAAAACACCACACAAATTTTGTCTTTCTTGCATGTTTTTGTAATCATGCAGATCACAGAATCACTGGAGGTTGTCTAATCTCTTCCCTGTCACTGAACAGAGGAGGTACAGATATTGCTTTTCTCTTGTACCAGGCTTGCAAGATTCCAAACTGCTCACTAAAAAATAGTAGTTTTTTTACATAATTTATTTTTGCTCTTTTCTACTCCCTACTTCTCCCAGACCTCCACTGGCTTTTTAATTTAACTTGTCCTTGAGCATTCAGGGGAAAGGGAGGGAGAGAGAGAGAGAGAGAGAGAGTGTATGTGTGTGTGTGTGGAGGGGAGGGAGTGGGGGTGGTGGGAGGCAGAGACAACAAAACAGCATACCCTAGACTTCTCTTCTTACACTTGCTTTGTTAGTGTTACAGGATCCTCCTGTTCCCTGCTGCACTGGAATGATGCCTAAGGCATGGTCTTGATCAGTTGTTTGTTTGGGATCTTATTCACAATACACTCATCCTACTTTTGCCCCCTGATAAATACCTAATTGAACTGTAGCTATCTCTGATAGTCCGAAGCAGCATCTTGACTTGGACACATATCCATCCTGAGATCCTGATATACTGATATTTTAGCCTTTGAATATTTCATTCCTATATGCATTGTGAGGCTGTTTAGTCAAAACGCATGCCTATGCATCATTTTTTGTTAGTCTTAGTTTTAGCTATTTGAGAGTGGCTGGGTATTGGTGTTGGCACTTAAATTCAATAATGATACACTTTTGCTTTTTGGGGGGGGGTACATTCCACTTTGATTCAAGATGCAGCAAGGTTCTTTAAACCCTGTCGTATTTAGATACCTTATCAAGGAAATGACAGGTTGAGCTACTGTTAAAGTCCTGTGATCCCAGGACCCTTTACATTCCAGTTCTCTGTAAAATCATTCCTGGCCCATTCAGTGGATACTTATCTTTCATGATTCCATGGGACTCTTAAAGCTGCTCTGTGTAGCGGGAGGTGTAACTTGAAAGATAGAGGCCTGAAAGAATGAAGAACAGAATGCTTGGCATGAAACCTCATTAAAATTCTTTCTGCAGTTGTAGAGCACTTTATATGCAGATGACTGGCACAAGCCTCTAGGGCAGTCAGGATCTTTCCTGTCAATGCACAGTGTGCTCCATAATGCGTGTTATGGAGTTGTTGTTATGCTAATATGCAAAGTCTCATTGATACCTACAGGGCTTTTGCATGCTCTCATCCCAAATTGGCAGAATATCCCATTTGACTAATTTTGTGATATGTTTTAAATAAACTGTGTAGCACATTGACCCTGTGATTTGCTGAGTCATTTTATGAGGCTATAAACATTTTAGGTATAAAATATCTTCCAATTTCACCACTATTTATCCAGATATATAACATATAATATGTGCTGTCTGCTTGAAAATATTGTGCAAAGGAAGGATTATTAAGCATGTAACCACTTGTTGAGCAAGAACTCAGCTCTTTCAATTTTTAGAAAGAAATTCCAACACAGACTAGTTCACAGAACACTTAAAAACATCATATAAAAAACACAAGCGCACACAAATATGTTATTTTTAAATACAGATATATATTTATAAATGGTAACCAAGCAAAATCTGCATGTTCCTCTTTGCCTTCTCCAACTGTTAAATTGCCAACCCAGCTTAAACTAAACTTTCCCAAAAGAAATTTACTCTTGGACTGAAAGCTTTTATGCTAAGCTATTGGCTAAAAGTTAAAAATAAAAAGCTTTGCTGTTTCTGATCAAGTTGCTGTCATAGGCTTTACTCTAGCAGGACAAGCAGTCCTACTGAGCTAGAGTAAAAAAGATTTTCTAAGATGGTTCTTGGAAGACTTTTAGAAACAAAGCTGATGTTGAAACGGAATACATGGAGTGTGAGCTTTATAAGGACAGCTGAAAATACTCTGCTGATTTACAACAGGATTTGTGTGCGTATATGGCTTTAGCAGGCAATACGGATTCTGTTTCTCTTTAAGTTCCCACTGTGTTTTGATTTCTTTCAGATAAATGTCACTTGTCCCTTAAGGAATAGTTTCTGCTTTGGGAGATTAAAAATGCTGTTCATTCACAAAATCTCAGAGAGCCAGGGGCTAGGGGGAAAGGGTGGGACGAATTACTGTCACCGGTAACATTTCTGGTGAACTTGAGATGAAAAAGCTTTGTTTTTTTTCCTTTACTCCATTGATATGATTTTATGTAGCAGTTCTAAAAGTGGAATTTTCCTGGAAATTCATTTGTGCTACAATAGCTTACATTCATTTTTTCCCCTCTCCTTTTACTGCCCATCGCTAGTTTTTTTTAATGTGATTGACCTTTAAACCTGTTGTTATAGGACTATGAGAAAGAGATCGAGACTCTTTTCAGCTGCTTTGGTTCCCATGTGACCTAGATGGAGAATACATTCAAAATAGAGTTCCTCCCCAGGCAATACAAGACAGAAGAGAAAAGCACTGTCATTTCCGAACAGCATAGTGCTGGGGTAAATTCAGTGTGAAAAAGGAAAGCGTCCCAGTGTGTTAGGATTCTTCCTTCAGAGCTTGGATTATTACTGGCAGAGGATTTCTGAGGATCTTTTGTTTTTAAACAAAGCTGATGTTGAAATGGAATACGTGGAGTGTGAGCTTTATAAGGACAACTGAACTTTGACTGCTAAAATTACTGGAGAATTTTTCAAAATGAGTATTGTTATGAAGCCAAGATCCCGATCTACCAGCTCCCTAAGGACTGCAGATACAATGTGGTAATGTGGTATTTTTTTCAACACCTCCTCCCATATTCTCTCACACACACAAACATGTATCCTAAGAGTGAGAAAGTACTGGTTTTACTGCTGGGTTGGCATATTTCATATGGTTAGTGAAAATGCTTACCAATTAAGTTTCATTTTAAAGTTAATAGCAAAAAATAAAACAAAATTAGTTTACTTTCTCTGGTACAATATTGTGCACCTAAGTCTTTTTTTATGTGACGTATGTACTATATAGTTTAATCACATGTGATAGCTTCATTCTCTGCACTTCTGACACTTTCTAAAAGATGACAGTTCATTTAATTATAAAAATTTGCTGAGCTATAACCTGCAGATTTGTCATCTGGGATAAAATAAAAATGCTATTTTTTTACTGACTGTTTTTGGATATTGGCATGCAGTTTATTATTTCGGGCATCCATAGAATGACTGATCAGAGTTACTGTCATGGAAAAGACAACACTAGTAGTGACATAAAGTTAGACTGTGACATGTTATGGTCTATGCATTTGCCCTGCACTCAGAAAACTAAAAGGTGACTCCATGTAGAAGTCAATATAGTGGCTGTTGTTTTGTTGCTAAGTTTATCAGCTGGCAATTGTCAAGGCTGCATCTTCTGTTTAATTATTCGTATTGCTTAGCAGGGAGAACATTAAAAGTTTGTGCAGCTTAATTATACAGAAAGAGCAATTTTTTTTCCACTAACTATACAAAGTTGACACATTCTGATTTAATTACGAAGGTTTCTCACCTCTTCTATTCTCTTTCCTTTTACTTACCCTTGATTATGCATATATGAAAACTAAATGATTTTAGAGTAATGGTCCAGACCCCAGCATTGGAACCATACTAAACTGCTATGTTTTGGATCCTTAATATAAAACACTATATTTCCTCTTCAGAAAAATCACATTTTTGATTAGAAATCAACAGATGGGCTTTTAGGGGACAGAATGAGTAGAATGCAAACTAGATACATATTTACTTGTAACACATATCAATTTACATCATTGATCTCAGCTTATAAAAGCTTCATGTTTCTAACAGCTGCTCAGGCTTCTTCATTCTGAGTTAAATCTTTCCCAGCCTTTACCATACAGAACTGCTTATTAACTGTTCCCAGCTTACTTGTATTAAAGCTAAATTAGGACAATATAATAACCTCAAACCATGCGATAAATGTTGTAGTCTTCTGATGCTAAGAATAGTTTTGCCTAAACAAGGACTACAAGATGTAGCTGTACATCTTGAAGTTTTCTCTTTTTAGAAAATGGAATAAAGTAGAGAGAAAATGTCAGTGATTTACAGGTAGATAATACTTTGTACTGTGAAAGCTAGTAAAGCAGTAATGTCCAAGAGGCTTCTATTGGACTAAAGAAACCATATATAGTAAATTTCTTTATAGTGCCTTTGGCTTATTCAAATAATATGAGTTTGTTTCTTATTATATAAGAAAGCAATATAGAAATACAGTAAATATCTTTCTGAGTAATCTTTCTACCTTTCAGTGATATCTTTCTTCTTTGACTGTTCCCCTGGTTTCTTGGCAAGAAAGTTTCTAGTTTCTCACAGTAAAATCCTTCATGTTGATATGTGCTGATATATGTAAGTGGATATGACAACTTGGTGTTCTGCCTAATCTATCTGCCTGTCTAGTATGTGGCCCCATCACTGTAGCACCTCAGGAGGACTGTATTGATCTGGTAGGTCAGATCCTGCTGATTGTGAGTGGAGGTGATTGGGCACTGAGAGCCATCCGCTACCTTGCAATTTGTAATAATCTCCTAGGCAGAGGAAGTTCCTTGCAGGAGAATTCTTGACAGCATGGCTCCATGAAATTTACCCTTGTCTCTAATGCAATGGTTCACAACCTTTTGAGACTTGAGTCATTCCTCAGAAAACGCCAGCTTTTAGGTGCAGACAAAAGTGACAATTTTTGCCTGATCTGGCCACAGAAAGCAGTTTATAGTTGTGACCAAACATAAGTGCACAGCTTCAAATAGCTTAAAAAATTGTTGATTCAATGAAAATCTGACCCCTCATTGCATGAGATATCAGATAAAGACATTTCAAAATGCCAAAATAAAATAATTTCGTAACTTGTGTCTGTGGAGCTCCCAGCCTATCACTGTTTTCAGAATGGGAGGGATGACAGGGAGCAGAAGGAGTTCAGCCTGGTAGGTTTTCAGCCCCCTTGAAGGGTGGGGCAGATGTATTGGAGCCTCCCACCCCAACGTGGGGGCGGCCCTGTTGTGGGGGGCACCAGCCCTACCAACAGCATCAGTGTCGGCCATCAGGGAGCATGTGCACCCCTGTGTATCTCCTACCAGTCGCCTATGGTCATTGCTATGGGAACCTGGCTGTAGGTTCCCAGCTGGCAGCTATATTCCCGTCCCCCTGGAATCAACAGTGAACTTCTATTTAGTCTGGGGTAACGTAACTCTGAATGCTTTGTAAAAATTGTTCTGAGTTACAGCTGGGAGCTGCACTTCTTTCTGCACCCTTAGTTTTTGTTTATTTTTTTGACTAAAAACCAGTAGACAAATTCTTCTCTTGCAAAGAACTCAGAAAGACCACAACAGGTCAGAATGTTTTTAATACACCAAATTCCTATTTGATATCTAATGAATCATGTTTGCCCACCCAACAGTGTGGCATCATGGGTTACCCTTAAAAGGATCTCAGGGCACCCCAGGGTGCCTTGACATGTTCATTGAACAAAACATTTGCCACTTCCACAAGGGAGCAAACCTGACAGTTGAATAAATAATTCATAAGAAATTTCACAAATGAAAGCTTATGGAATACCATAGCTCCTAACTAGAAACAGTTCATTTAGGAGAGTATTGGCTCAGTTGGTAAAACTTTCAAAAACACCTAAATGAGTTAGCAACCTATAGTCCCCTTTTCTAAAGGGCCTTAGGTTATTAGAAAACTTGGAGGCCAGAAGCAGTATGCATGCAGAAGCAAGGAGCTTCTGAGCTGGTCTGATTAGTTAGGCCAGATTGCTGCGTTAACATGACCACCTGGCTTCTGTCTCCAAAACTAGTGCATGTGCTAGTAAATGGTTCTGCATTATGTCATGTAAACATGCTCCAAGTTTCTGAAGCTCATTTGAAAATCTTATCTGCAGTCATTGTTTCATATCAAGATGGTGATAATTACAGAGGAAGCAAAACATGGTCTTTTCACAAGAGATAATCAGGGGAATTGGGGTCCCTGCTACATGTTCAAAATAAAGCTGGACAGAAATCAGCTATAAAGCTGTTAGACATTTTCAATCACTAACTTTGTAGCTAGTTGGCTCTTTTTGTAGCTGGTTGTACATTTTTATGGTATGATAATGACTTTGCGTGTGTGACTGGTCTGAATTTTTTGTATGATTAACCAGTTAATCGCAGAATATATGTAATATGTGGTATGGGCCTTCATTGTTTATTTACTTATAAGATAGGATTGATGGCTTTTCATTTGATAGAGGCAAGGCCCAACTGCATGGCTGGGATAGACTTAGACAAGCTTTTGAATACAGCACATTCTTCTTCAGATTGCTGCTTAATTTGATGTTGCTTTAAACCTGCCTCTCTTACTCCTAACTTTTAATCTGATTTGAAGTGACTGTTATCTAGCTGACGAATAATAATATAGTTGATGTATTTTAGATCAACATATAGGTGCCCTGGTGTTGCATTGCCTCTAAGCAGCTCTTGCTGTTATAGGGAATGACATCTGAAATCATAATAAAAGACTGTTCCCAAGGGAAATGTTATTGCTAAGTGCCTTTTCTTCTTACCTGGTGTTGCTGTCAATGGATGTTTATGGTATCAGCTTTTGAATGAAATAACACTGCACTTATATCATCAAATAAAATACCAGTTTGAGAGAGTAATTTACTGAGAGGTAAAACCTTTGTTAAATCAGGAATATATGCACTTAAATTCTGTAATCACAATGTCTTGTATATTAATTATTGGTAATTAGAGGTGTACAAGAAAAGTAATTTCTTTTATCTGGAAAATGTCATATATTTGTATTGTTTCCCCTTGCATTGCCACCTTTCCAAATCAGAGCAAAGAGTAAGAAATACAATATTATCTGCAGAGCAGAAATATTTGCAAAATTTGATTTTAGAAAAAACAAAGCTCTTTTTAAAAAACAGACCTGGTAGATCTGAGTTCTGGGAGGCCTCTGAGCTTGATAGCTGGCTAGCCTGGTATACAAGGATACAGCTAGACTCTGAGCTTGGCAAAGCTGGTTACCCACTAGGCAAGCAAACCTGAGAGCTTGGGAACCCAGAAGTCAACTGTGCAGGAGGTATTTTTCTCTTTGAAATGTCAGAAACCGATGCACAAGCAGCAGATGATTGTGCATTTTGCAATGCAAGAGTTAGAGTCCATTCATACACTTCTAAAAACAAACAAACCAATGGGGTAGATTTTCCTGTCATGTGGGCATAGATCAGCAAGGCTGATCTCTTTCACACTAGTGTAAATCAGTGGAGTTCAACAAATGTAAAAGAGAGACCTAGGTTCTGTATATGCCCAAACCAGCTATGATAAATTACTTATGCACAAAGATTCTGTGATCCCAGTTACAAATAACATACTGTGTAATGTCCTCTTCAAAAGTATAAATTCTCTTTTGCAGACAAATGATATATTTTCCTGCATCAATAATTGATTATTTTCAGAATGAAGCTTATTTAGCTCTTTTGCTGTAACACTGATATGGCTTCTTGCTGTTGAAAAAAGCATTTGGCATTTTTGAGTGTGTGGATTGAGGTTCACTTAAATTCTAAAGAAAATGCCAGCATTATTTTGTGTCACACAGCTTTAATACATTAAGACAAAATGAAACAATCAGCTACTCCATAGTTCACCAAACACACCTTTTAAAAATAAGTCTAGAATCATTTGATTTCTGCTCTGTTTTGGAATGTGTATAATTTCAAAACAGGCTGAATATTATTTAGATGGCAGGAAAAAACCTTTTTTTTCATTAATTGTATGTTAAAATTTAAAAAGTGCCAAATTGACAATTTAGAAAAAAAAACTTTTGTCCTTGGTATAATATTACAGTTATACAGGAAAGTTTTACCAATATGGTCCTGCCACAAGGTTCCTCACTCCTAATATAGTAAGATCACCACCTCCAAAGTCAGTGCTAGTTATCTGCTTACATCACTAATAAGGCTTCTAACTAGTACCAAATGTGGGGTTTTTTTCTGATGTGAACAGAATTCTGTTGACTCAGAATTCACTTTGAGACTACAAATAATTTGCTAACCAGTTGCTGTTAAATCTGTCTGGAACTGCAAGGCAGATAGAAACATTCTCAACTATTTGCTTCTTACTATTAAAACTCCTTTTTGGAAGAATATTTTTAAAACAGCCTTATTGATTTGATGTGTAATTGTTCTGAGGCTTCCTATAGAACAAAGTTCACAATATTTATCTGATGGTGCTGCCTGGTACAACCAGTTTTATGGGTGAGTGGATAACAGGGAACCTCAGAGATGGTGTGTGTGAAAGAGAGAAAAAGAGAAAGTAAATGTTTTCTATAGAACATAACTATCTAGATGTAAGAAAAATCCAACTTTCCACTAGTAAGAGAATGATATATAATCACTCATCTTATTAGACAGTCATAATATATTATATTTTGTGGCTTTGGACCTGAATCTGAAGATATTTTTTTGGAATGAATAGTTAATATTCACATGAAAGGCTGAAGGATCTGGACATTTGTGGCAGACCACTTTTGCCGCCTACCACTTTAAGGGCAAGAGCAAACATCAGAGCAGCCAGTAGGTGCATGCCGGGGTAATGAGGCAGGAACATAACCACAGGAGGGCCCCGGGATGAGGAGCCTCCATTTTGGATCCAGGCTGTCAGGGCTGAGGCAGCACTCTGCTGTTGGCAGCCAGAAAGACACCACCTATCTGAGCAGCTGCTCACAATAGCTTGGAGGTAAAGGCAGGAGCTATGGGGATGGACGGGGGCTCCTGGTCCTGGGTATGACCAAAAACTATACCCTGCAGGGGAAGGATAGTCTGGTGGGACTGCCCATGGCAGAATAGTTCCCCAGAAATGCCAAGCCAGTTGCCTACCTAATGAAAGGTGGGTAGGGGCACCTTTAAAACCCCAGCCCCCACAACCGGGTAGATTATCTGGTAGTAGGGACAGGCAGAGGCCTAAGAAGGTGGACCCGTGTGAAAGGGAGTGGGTGACCAGCATGAGATCCTAGACAAAGCCCTCAGCTGGTCAATGCTGGGTCCAGGACTAGGATGGTCAGAAGGGCTAAAGTGCCCACCATGAGGGATGTCCGGAGCCAGGGGGCCTAGGGTTCTGACTGGCCTGGAAGTGGGCCAGGGCCTGTGTGACCAAAGGTCCCAGAGGGGAGCCACACCCGAGAGGGAAAGATGTCTAGGGAGCCGACAGCATTGCATGATGACAGGGATTGAGTCCATCTGATTAGGAGGAATCTACTCGGGATCTGAACACAAGACTTTGGAGCTCAGTGTGGGGCTGAAGCCACATAGTGGATGCCATCTGTGAAGCATGGGGCATGGTATAGGGAAGGTCGGAGCCGTGTGTAAATCTCTTGGCATCAGGGCATTAAAGGGGCAGCCTCCCACTTATTACATCAGGTTTATCCCAGCAAGTCATGGGAGGTGAGATGGGACAGACTGCCCTAGACAGAGGGGTGGTCAATATAGTGACCAACCACAAGTTGGCTCCTTTGTCACAACATTCATTATTTCCATCTCATAAACATGTTTGATATATCAGAAACGTTCCTATACTAACTAAATCAGTATGAAAAACTGAAATCTTGTTTATTGTAAAATGAAAATTTGAAAAAAGAATTCAGGTTAATTCATTAATAAAAGGTTAATCAAAACATTTTACTTTTAGCTATTATACTGCACTTAGATTTTAACACAGAAGTCCACTTCAAGTATAAATCTGGAAAATTTTAGTTCAAAAGTGTTAAAACAAAATATT